GCCTGCTGCCTTGAAATATCAGAAGCAGGTGGGCATTACAGAGAATCGATCTTGCCATCTGGTTTTTATAGACCAGTTAAGTAAGTCCATTAGTAGTAAGGTACAGTGGAAAGAATGGTGTCTTGTGTTCTAGAGACACAACTGCCTAATAAAAATGTTCCTCACACCTGTACATCCATTCCTTCACCTGGTGAATGATTCCACTGCGTTAGGGCATGGATGGCAAACACAAGGCCCTCAGGCCGAATCCGGCCCTCCACCTTGTTTTTATCTGTCCTGGCACCTGGTTTCTACCCAGCAGCAGCACTGAGCTCTCAATGAACTGTTAAGGAGTAGTTACAGTTATACAGTCCTGAAATTACATTCGGCCCTTTGAAGGCAACCGCGAGACTGATGTGGTACCTGGTGAAAATGAGTTTGACACCCTTGCGTTAGAAGCACTGAGCTCTTCATGAGCTTCATCACTCATGAAGCCTAAAAATAAAACACCTGTGAGGTAGCTGGTGCTTAAGCCTGATTTGTCCATGTGGAAGCCGATACTCTAAGAAGTCATATATCTAGTAATATGCAAAACTGGGTTACAGTTCATGTTGTTTTGACTCCACTGCCTATGTTCATCTCATCAGCCTGGTCCTCAGCCATTTAACCAGATTATAAGCCAAAAGACCTGCTTGAGTTTATGATTCTGAAGATCTACTTTCCCTATTCGATGCAACTATTCACATTCGATGCTATCATGTTTCAACTACGTATTGCTGTGTGACAAACCATGCTGAAACTTATTAGCTTAAACCAGCTACAATTTTAGGCATTCACTGCACTGTGCATTGGCAGGGCTCTGCTGGGCTGTCCTGTTGGTCGCAGTTGGGGTTGCTCATGCGCTTGCAGTCAAATGGCTTTGTTCACATATCCAGTGCCCCAGTGGGGAAGGTTGGGAGGCGGTGATCTCTTGCTTTTTTGCTTTCCATGTGGCTAGCTCGGGCTTCTTTTCACGGTGATTAGATGCTAAGAGTGAGTATTCCAGTACAAGCCCAGTGAGCAAGCACTAAGCCCTTGTTTGTATTATCCTAGCGAATGGCTTATGTATTGGCTAAGCCAAGAGTGAGTAAGGGAGGGCACTACACATGAGCATGAAAATTGGGAGCTGTGGTTCACTGGGAACTACCAAAGTAACAGCGTACCACTTGTGACATATGTAAGCGAAAGGCAAGGGGATTACTATTTAAGCCAAGATCTGTTTCAGATTTTTTCAAGGGTACTGGATTTAAAACCTATTACTTTAGATGACTATGCAGCCTCTGGAAATCATGTATTAGAATATTAAATGACATGGAAAATGATAATAACTATAAAAATTTTTTTAAACAAATTCTTGTTTGGTCATATGCTACAGTTTTAGCCATTGTTATTGCCAAGTAATTGTGAAATTTTTAAAAAAAATTTCTTGTCCTCGTATTTACCAAAATTTCTTCAATAGATATATATTATTTTATAATCAGTAATAAAGTGTTTATATAATTGAAGAAAAAGAAAATGTGATTGCAGTAATTGGTGATAGATTAACAAGGTTTGGGTATATCTATATAATATTTCTATTACTACATTATCTTATAGATTTTATAAATATTTATAGTCAATAAAATAAAGTTCTTAAAGAACTACAAATAAAATGACATCCCGGTATTTTAAAATGATCAGATTGGAAAAAAGGGGAAAAGATTGCCTATTCAGTGTCAGCCAGGATTTTGGGACTTTGGATGGGTGTGCAAATTGATAGTGCCTTTCCAGTGAGGGACTAAAGTATACCAGAATTCAAGAGGGGCATTGCTCCAATGGAGCAACACCATGTGTGTAGGAATTCTAACGAAGAAGAAATGCTTTAAAATTCTCCAAAATGTAGGTGCTGACTTGTGTAGATTTATGGAATTAATGGCAGCCCTTTGTTCTTATATATACTTTTCTTTGCTCGTTTGCTTTCTAAGTGTAGTGTCCCAAACCTGATATGCTTACATGTTGGGAGAAGGGAGCAGACCTTGAGAACTTTGTGGCCATGAGCTTAAAGTAGAAGTTCTGAATCTTGGTGGCACATTGGAAAGGGACCTTCATGTCAGGTACCCAAAGTTTCTGATTTAACTACTCTTGGGTGAGGCTTGAATATTGGGAGTTTTCAGAACTGCTCAATTGATTTCAATAAACAGACAAGCTTGAGACAAACAGAATAATAGAAGCTCTCTTGACCTGACCTCTATTTAAAATTTGATTGGTTAACCTGCATGCTCTTTTCCTTCTATAAAAAACTAAATGTTGATTGATCTCCAGGACCTATTTAACATCTCAGGTCAGCAGGGTACTAGTACATATACCAGTTGAGTTGATTTCCAAGATTCAGCTGTTTCTAAACCTTTTTATGCCAGTTGTGTTATTAACCGTAATATTATAGCTCAATTAAATGTGAGCATGAGAAGAGACAGAGTTGCATGTTTGGAAAGACAGCCAAAGTAAGCTGCTTAAAAAAGATGTAAGAGCCAATGCACAGAAGGGCAGTGTCCATCAGTGAATGGTCGGACACTCTGCCTTCTGCCCGCACAGTCCCGTGGGGTCTCAAAGACCACTTGTAGCACTAAAGGCATTTGTGGTGACAGACTAGCAATCACGTGGGGTTTTGAACACATTTTCTAAGAGTATTGCCCTTTTCTCCTCTTTTATTTTTGACTATAGCTCTTCAGCTTTTACAGTTTCCTGACAAAGGACTGAAAAAGAACTGAGAGGCCACAGGTTGCTGGCACATGTGGGGCATGTCACGTAACCTGCTTTCATTGCAACTGGCATAAGATCAGAACCATGATCATGGGATTCCTTAGCCAAAGTGGCACTGGGGATCCAGAACCCCTTACCTTAGAGGACAGAGACCTAGGGTGACCAAGCACCCCAGTTTACCCAGGACTGAGGGGTTCTTGGGATGCAAGACTTCCAGTGCTGAGATTGAAAAAGCCCCCTGCCAGCCCAAACGAGTTGTTCACCTGATGGGGAGGTAACCATCTGTGTTTCATTGGAACCACAATGAAACACAGTGGGATTCTAGTTAGTAGAATCCCACTAAGTTGACGATAGATAACATAGCCTATTAAAAGTGCACTCACCTACCTTTTCCTTTCACAGATACTCAGACTCAGAGTGCTGTGAACATCTGCCCAAGACCACACAGCTTGGCAGTAGCATACCAGGGACCAGCCTCTAGATCGCTACACTCCCAGTTTAGGGCACTTTCCACCACAATGCATGGTTTGCTTTCCCATTTTTATTGCTTTTAAAATGTGAAATTGTTTTTGCTGTTTTTTCTTTTGATCACAGGACTCAGCCTTTAGGATAGTGAGAACTGCTCTTATCCTTATACACGGCACCACTTTGGGTTCCATTTATATTGGGATGGTCACGTAAATCAGGTTGGTGTGAAGGGCTTCAATTGATCACCATCTCTATTACTGCACGGCATTCATTCTTATTGTCTCTACAGCCCATTGGAAGTATTTTCAACATGCATCTGTTTGTCACCACCTAATGCTACCCTTGATGGAGATGGTCAGGACAATGAGTCTCTCTGGGTGAGGGGATTGTGTTTGTGCCCTTTCAAGAGCACGAAACAGAGTTTAGAGACTACGGTGAAGCCAACCAATCCGGAAGGTGGTCTTGGGAAGTGGGGGCAGGGAAAAGATGGAGGGATGTGTTTCTAGGGTACAGCAGGTCAAGCAATAAAGTGAAGCTCTGTACAGAAAAGGACTGACTCAACATGTTGACTTCTGTAGGCAACGCACATGAAGGATATGCTAGTATGTTTCAGCCCCTCACTTCCATTTTCATTGGCTATCCTCGCTCAAACGTACTATACACCAAACACCTTGTGCTGATCCTGCTTGAGCCCTTGCTGGAATACAGCCATCTGGTTCTGAAAAATTCTGCCATGAAGTACCAATAAGCCATCCCTTCACAAGGCCCATTCAGATCGCCCTAGCCTTACTCATCCTCTGAACCTCTATTTCATCTTTTCCTGACATGTAGCCTGTCCATCCTGTAGCTCAGCTGGATTTGGTAAGATCTGCCACATGAAATGAAGCACCCCCAGAGGTGTGACAGCATCGTTAGGCGGAACTGAAGTGTTTCCACCACTGCTTCGTTTCTCCCCTCCCTTCGAGTCCATTCCATCACATTCTCTCAAACAGATCATCTCCGATGGAGCTTAGTTCTTTATATTTCACTGGGACTTAAAGACAAATGGTTGCCACTCTGGGTTACCCACACTTTAAACCAGAGCATTACTGGAAGAGCATGAGTATTATATAAATTTATCTTGTCCCTACGAGAGTAACTTAAAGCTGTCACTGAATGGAAGTTGTTTTGTGGGAACAGGAAATGCTTCTTGGCACTTCTGAAATCAAAGCACATGAGAAACTTCTACGGAGTGTACTTTTAGGTTTGGTCTGCCCCAATCTATGGCTACCAAACGTTACTACTTTGCTGTGTAAACACTTGGTGATTTCCAGTTTTACAGGAAACATCTAGAATTATCAATTTGGATACCTTATGTAGCACCACTATTACACTTTGGGACAAGGACACTGCTAATCAGTCCTCCAGAAATACCTTCAAAATGGAGAAGAGAGCCCTGACCAGGGTGGCTCAGGTGGTCAGAGTGTCGTCCTATACACTGAAAGGTTGTGGGTTCAATTCCCAGTCAGGGCACATACGCAGATTGTGGGTTTGGTCCCCAGTCAGGACGTGTGCAAGAAGCCAATCAATAAATGTCCCTCTCTTTCTGCCTCTCTCTGTAAAAGCAATGAAAAAATGTCCTCAGGTGAGGATAAAAAAAGAAGAGAGCTGACTTCAAAAAACTGGCTTTTCTGTAATTTTATATGGCGGGCTATAGCCGGGAAGTGGCATTTTCAGGTAGCCTACAAAACATCACTCAGGCGAAATGCACAGCTCCACAATGATGACGCGCACTATGAAAGTAGCAGGACTTTATTGAAATGTTTTAGTACAGTGTTGAAAGATCTGAAAATGTTATAGTAAACCAATAATACAAGCACTGCAAATGACATATTCCCGAATCTAGTTGACATCTAACAAAACACAGTTACCCTATGAATATCTGTAAGTTGATTAATGTAACTTGGAGGGCTGAGTGATTTTGGTTATGTTCCCTTTTCTCTGGCTCCCCTTTTCAGCTAGATACCCAGCAAGTCAGCTTCCATCCAGCAGAGCTGACAGGACCAATGTGTCTGGTGGTTCCATGGACATGTTTTCACCCCAGGATCAGGAAAAGTCTGAGTTCTGGGAGTTGTGGAAGGAAGCTGCTCGTAGGCTACCTTCCTCATCCTCGCTGAACAGAAACCAAATAGCTCAGGCCCACATTGCCACTGTATATGGCTGAGTCCAGTCTAATTAGTTAGTTAATGTATTAGAAGTACTTTCAAAAACACACTGGGTACTAAATAATGTAAGAAACAATCAGGTCTTAATTTAGGATATTACAATAGATTTTGTATCATTTCCCCCCCTTTGGGTCTTATTGTAAAATTAACTCCCTATTTTACTACCAATTTTAAATGTTAGATGAAATGATTGCCTTGAAAGCAACTGGGTTTAGTCATATCATGTCAACAGGCCCACACTCGTATGCCACACTGTCTACTTCTGCAAATCCATAACTACATTTTCATTTCTCTAGGCATAGAAATTCTAAGAAATACAGCTATCACGCGTTTATCAAAAAATTAAAATTACCTAGCATCTAAATAAACTCTTTACTCTATCTCAAGTCAACTCTTTCTAGACATTGTCACTCTGTATCGCATAGCTGGCTGTACCAGGCTATACCATTTTATGTCAAAAACTGTACCTCAAAATGCTCGTGTCTGTGGTGACAAAAATGACACTTTTTAACTTCGATTCCACCTCTGCTGCACTGAAGTTGGAAACCCTAATGACCTATTGGTGGAGGTTTCTAATAAATTTGTTAATGAGTTCAGTAGTTTTCCTTTTCCACCTGCAGATTTTAAAGAATTTATTCTCTCCAAGTTTTAAGATTCAGCAGGAGGGAGAGACTGTTGCTTATTATTTTGTGCAGGTGAATTATCTTCTTCAGGTGACAAAGTATTCAGCTGGGTGCACACCAATGTGCATGTAGTAAAACTCACAAGGAGGAAGGGCATCAGGGAGGCACCTGACATAGGGGCCACCTCAGGGAGGAAGCAATCTTCCCCCCACAATCACTCTCGGGCCCCTATTTGAATTTTTTTAATGGGGGAAACTAATGTTTACTTATCTGTACTTTTCTTGGAGACCTACGTGAAAAATTTTTCACGTAGTGGCTTTGGTTCCAATAATCAGTTGCTTAGTCTTGCTACTTCTCATTACAAAAAGCTGATGAACATGAAAAATCAAAACTAACGATGCTTAAATATGCATTTAGTGTAAATCCCAAAAGTCCACCCTTCTATTTCCGTGAAAAGCCAAATGATGATCAGTCAATCTGAGGGGACTTAGGAGCTTTTGTTTGGGTGGAAATCAAAAGCATGAAATTATTGGAAAAAGGCTAAGTCAAAGTGAGAGCTGAGAACGTGACCTCAACAAGATGACAGGACAAATGGCGCCCAAAGAACTGTCCATCTGGGACGGACAAAGGCGAACAGGAGTGGGACAGTGTAGAGACTTTCTCAAAACAGGCTCCAACACAAATCTATCACTGAACTCATTGTGGGATTTGAGAACACGACATTTCACGCAGGTGACTGCCGTAACACGTGTTCCATAAGTGGTAATAAAAACAATTTGGAGCTAAATGGCCTCTGATAGGTATAATATTTACTCAAAAATGTATCAGTGGCCATCTTCAAGTATAAAAACTTTGGTCCAAATCAAACACAATAACTAAAATGGTTTATTTGAAACCTGGCTACTAAAAAAAAAAATCATGGTATGATATATTTTCTAAGGTTTTCTTAGAAGGGCTCATTCTATACAGGGTTTTACTCAAATGTCCACAGGCATTATCATTTTATATGTACATAGAAGTCTTTATCCTAAAGTCACCTTGGGCAACCCTGAAATATATAAGTTATGAACCTCCACAATGCAATTACATACGTGGAAGTTGTGGCCTCAAAACAGACAGGACAAAGGGAAAAGTCACCTATCAGAGCAAGTCAAGATGACAAAAATGCTTTTGATTTATGACAGTTAGCAGATCAAATAACCACTGCCCTCGCCCCAAACTGGAAGTAAATGGTCTTTGAACTATAGAAGGGGGACACAACGGGTTTTGGTGGATACAAAGATCTGGCTTTTGTGTTCTAACTGCTGAGCCCTGAAGCTAACAAATCAGATGAAAACAAACTCGTCAGAAATCAGCAGGCTTGCTCCATGCCCCCATCCTGGATTTACAGTGGGACATGGCTGAACAGGTAAGACACAGATTCACCGTTGTGGGTCCGGCGGATCGCCTCGGCCAAGATCATCGAGATGTCAATGACCTAAGTGACAAACAGAAAAAGGGCGAGGGAAGTGAGGCATCTTAGTCGCACGTAATTAAAAACATAAAAGCCAGAAAACCTACAATTTCTCTACCTGCAAGATATGCTATTATCAAGCCCTGTACCCATTTTCTTTCGGGAGGAGAGACAGCTTTGGGTCAATCTTCAAATTATAGCCTGTGAAACCAAACCCCTAAGACACAGGTGGCAAACACAAGGCTCGCAGGCCGAATCCGACCCTCCACCTTGTTTTATCTGACACAATACCTAGTTTCCACCCAGCGGCAGTGCCGAGCTCTCACTTAACTGTTAAGGAGCAGTTACATGTATGCAGTCCTACAGTTACGTTCGGTCCTTTGAAGGTAACTGCGAGGCGGATGTGACCCCTGGTGAAAATGAGTTTGACATCCCTGCCCTATGGGATCCTGGGAGGCAGATTTTCAGTGCAGATACTCAAAGGCTTTCCAGAGCTGCTGTTAACCAGAGATATCCTTTTCTTGGGCGTTTGTTGTTTTGAAATTAATTTTATTCAATTACGTGGAAGGTTTCTCTTTCTCTTGGTTTCAGAAAAATGTAGTGACTATATCATTTAAAAGAGCAACTATGATCATTCTAACTCAGGGTTCAGCAAACTACTGTTTCTGTAAAGGGCTTGAGAACTAATATTTTCTGCTTTGTAGGCCACGCCCAACTCAGTTGTCGTCATTGTGTGAGAACAGCCATAGACGATATATAAATTAATGGGCGCGGCTGTGTTCCAATAAAACTTTATTTACAAAAGCACATGATGGGCTGGACTGGGGCTGGACTGGGCCAGTGGGCCATAGCTCGCGGACTTTCACCTGCAGCCGATCAGGTGGACCTGTTGGGTTGTATGTTAACTCTGTTGAGCTTCAACCCAGCCTGTCTCTTCCTCTTTTTCTATCCACAATAAGTGATTTTACTCACTATTTCTAACTTTGACCTCTGCTGACCAGAGCCTTTCTCAGAGCTCGAACATGAGTTAGATCCCCCCCCCCCCACATGAGAAGCTGAACCCTCTACTGACATCTGCCTTAGTCAGCAGTCACACACAGATGCTACTTTTCGGGATCCAAGGTAGGTGCCTCGCTTGGCTCTGTCTGCAGTGTGGACAGTACCTGGATCTTGGGGCAATGAATCATTTTGTCCTCCTGCGGAATGGTGTTTGTGACAACAACAGCCTCAAAGGAGGCACTGTTGATTCTGGAAATAGCTGGTCCAGAGAAGATCCCATGGGTAAGGATGGCATAAACTTTGGTAGCTCCGGCCAAGACCAACCTATAAAACAGAAGACAAAAAAGTCTCCCCTAAGTGTGAATTTAAAAGCAAAGTGTTCCATAAAGGAAACCACGAAACCAATTTCATTCACGTTCAGTAGCCAAAAACAGGCTCTTAAAAGGTATGTGTTGGCAACATGCTTTGTTATGCCATTAAATCCAGGACTACTGACCTTGGCCTTGGGCCCAGAGGATCCTTTGTTGTGCTGCACCCCTGGATTGCACTGTAGCGATGCCTCCCTCCCCTGGGCTGTGACAACCAAAAATGTCTCCAGACATTGTTCAAATGTCCCCCAGGGAACAAAACTGCCCTTGGTTGAGAGCCATTGGTTTAAACTAAAATAGCCTGAATACCATCCTTTTGACGTATCAATATAAAATATCATTGAGAGATTTTATGTTCTTCGCTTTGTACTATCTTTGAAGGCTGCAGCGAGGGCCGAACAGAAGACAATGAGAGCCTGAGGAAGCCTGCAAGGGGTCTCTTTCCTTCTGTGCTCAGGTACAGGGGGCATGCCTCCTCGGACCCTTCATAAAACCCACCTTGAAAGTGGAAAGCAGGCCTTAAAGCACCATGGTTTCCTTCCTACTAAGGAAAATAAATGCGCCTAGAACCTCCCCTGGTTTGAAATGTCACTGCTAAGCAGACAGCAATGATTAGGAAAAACAGGCCTCATTTTTCAAAGCTGACACTTTCCCCTTCTTAATGAGATATCCTAACACTTTCCCAAATTGTCCCTCGTACTTGTCTGCAGCGTGGCAGATTGTGCCACAAGTGTCGGCCATGTCATCCACGAGGATAGCCACACGGTCCTTCACGTCGCCCACCAGGACCATGCCGTCCACCTCGTTCGCCTTCTTCCTCTCTTTGTGAATCAGCGCAAAGTCCACGTTCAACCTGTCCGCAATGGACGTGACCCTGTGCAGAGGAAAAGGATACATTAAGAACAGTCAGTAAAACAATTTCGTTCTTTCAAGTTGTCCATTAGGAATGTAGTCACCAGCCACACTCTAGACAATGAAAGAATCAGGTCTCCCTGGTGAGGCCAGTGACGTGGCTCTGCATTTGTGGCAGCTAGGGATAAATGACAGGGTACCCTGCCCACTGGCTAACACTACTGGATAATAACTGATATTCAATTTGGTAGTGCTGCGTGGTGGTTTTTGAAATCCCAGGCATGAATTTAAGCAAGTTACTTGGAAACTGCCATGGGCGGTGCAGTTAGGGGCGTGGCTGTAGGGCACAAAGTCCTGGTGAAATGCAGCCACGGAACAGGCAGGCTTACAGCAACAGGCGCCAGTACACTTGAGGCCTCAGGAGACTAAATCATGAGTCTGGCTCCTGCACCTGTCAACTGTGAACGCTCAAAAGTCATCAGCTCAGAAAGCACTGAGCTGGCCCCAGAAAGAGGAGATGACAGGCCAAGCCTGTCTGTGAGCCCAGGACATTTTTCCGATGAAACGTGACCACAAAATGATGCCATAGATACAATGTGACCTGAAATGAGATTTCAGTTCTTATAACAATCAATCGCTATGCAATTCTGCTGAAGAAGTAATACTGAGGGCCCAATACACACACCGTTGCATGCTGCAGTTTTGTAGGCAGTGAACAGAGAGTGTGACCTCCGTGCCTTTTTAGGGCCCTGCTCCTGTTCACTGCATCATCCTCAGATGGCAACTGGGAATGGCGCTCCTGGGCGCTCCAACCACAGAGAGAGCCGGCAAGTCTCTGCACCCCAGGTCTCCCTCACCTGCTTCTGAGAAGGTTCAGTAACCGTATTTTTTAATTGTGGTAACATAGATATAAAATAGGATTTATCATTTCAACCAGTTTAAAGCATACAATTCAGTGGCATTCAGCGCACATGCATTGTATTGTACAAGTACCACCTCTAATTTCCAGAACATTTTCATCACGCCAAAGGAAACCCTGTGCCATTTTAGCAGTCACTCCCCACTCCCCCCAGGCTGCCATGGCCATGAGGCTACTTCATCTCTATGGATTTACCTATTCTGAACTTTTCATATGAATGGAATCATACAATGTGTGGTCTTTTGTAGCTGGCTTCTTTCTCTTAGCATGTTCACTAGCTTTTTTAAAAAGATTTCTTTTTAGAGAGAAAGGAAGGGAGGGAGAAAGACAGAGAAACATCAATGTGAGAGAGAAAAATCAATCGGTTGCCCCTCATATGTGCCCCAACTGGGGCCTGGCCTGCAACCCAGGCATGTGGCCTTACCGGGAATCAAACAGGAAACATTTTGGTCTACAGGGTGACACCCAAGCCACTCTGCCACACCGGTCAGAACTGATGTTTACTCAGTTTGTCCACATTGTAGCACAGATCACTATTTTATTCCTTGGTATGGATCATTAATTTGCATCATAAGGATATACAATAGCCCATTCTGCCTATCCAGTCATGTGCCGATGGGCACCTGGGTTGTTTCAACGTTTTGACTATTGTGAATTCTGCTGCTATAAACATCAGCACAGGAGTATGTTTGAGTCCCTGCTTTCAAGTCCTTTAGGTACATACATGTGGGCAGAATTACTGGGTCATATGGTAGCACTGTGTATATAACTTATTTGGCCAGTATTTTACTAGCTTCTAACTTGATCAAAGACCACAGCCATCTTTTTCAGATCTTAATGTTTTCATTGAAATTAGCAGGAACATCTATTACTCCAGCAAGGGCCAGAAATGAGAATGAGATGAGGCCACCTTTACTCCACGTAGGAAAATCTCCATTTCCGAATATTTTCGAGTGGCACTGTGGCACCGTAGGCCCCTGGGCACCCTTTCTGATGGAAACAGCTCCAGTGCTGTTCCATCAGAGGGAACTATCTTTAAGAATGCATCGCTGAGCTGGAACAGTAGTCAGAATCTTCAGAAGCAGAGGATGTAAAAGTAGGTTATCCTAAGAAGCAGGCACACAGCTAAGGTCTTGCCCTGAGGGTTTCTAAGGAGCCTTCAATGATCTCAGGCCTAACAGGCGACCCCGTGTAACGCAGGGATGCTGGAGGTTATCCCTTCAGCATATAAGTAAAAATTAACCTGCTGACCAGGTGGGGACGGGAAGGACGTGTGGCTATCTCGAACTCCATGCTAAGTGGAGGGCATTAGTTCTTCTCCCGAGAGTTGCAAACTGCACGTAGGCTGTCCTGAGTGTTATTCGTCCAAATTTGCATGTTGTGTATGCTAAAACCCACAAGTGGAGAATTGAACTCAAAATGATCCTTTGGGGTAATAGTCCAAGGTAAGGAAAAATGATAACAGATACTTTGGGATATGGTGGCTGGGGGGAGAGGTAAGCCAAGACATTAGCCAATATGTAGACAAATCTAAATAAATGTTTATTATCTAAAACTGCAATAATAATAATGTCTAATTTGTGGAAAAGAAAAAAAACTACACCAGACAATAGCTTTAAAGTACAAAAGACGGTGGTCATGAATGAAAATGTCAATAATCTCAAAAGAGAAAAGGACCAGGCTCTGGCTGGGTAGCTCCACTAGTTAGTGCATTGTCTGGATACAGCAAGGCTTCAGGCTTGCTCCCCAGTCAGAGAACACAGAAGAATCAGCCAATGAGTGCATAACTAAGTGGAAAAACAAGCTGATGTCTCATTCTCTCCCATCAATCAACAAAATAAGGACCAAACTTTCCACTTAAAGACAAAGGCTGTTAGATCAGCTAAGATAAGACACCAATTTCAGATCTCCAAAGTCCCTGAAGCAAAGGGAAGCATTACTGTGATAAGGTCCATATTCTTCCTGCTATCAAAAATGCATCCTTCCCCTGACTGGTGTCGCTCAGTGGATTGAGCGCAGGCTGTGAACCAAAGGGTTGCAGATCAATTCCCAGTCAGGGTACACACCTGGGTTGTGGGCCAGGTCCCCAGTGGGGGCCATGTGAGAGGCAACCACACATTGATGTTTTTCTCCCTCTCTTTCTCCTTCCCTTCCCCTCTCTCTAAAAAAAATTTTTTTTAAAGAAATAAAACAAAAGTAGTCTAAAAAAATGCATCCTTCCGTCTCAAACCAAAACCGCATTACTCTAGCTCACACCCTTCATTTCTAAATCTATTTACCACTGGTTTCCTAACATAATTGGGCAAACAAATTAATTACAGTGCTGACAAAAACTGTCCCTCACAATCACCTTACAACATTTACTACTCTCTATATGACAATTTCATAAAAGATAAGCCATATAAACTCTAATTCAGAAAGGCGAGTTTCTCAGGAAACAAGACAGACTTTCCCAAGAAGAGACTCATGAACATCTTATATGCAATGCATGTGTCTACATTAGAGCGTTGGTTTATTTGTAAGGACCAGGAAGAGCTCAGTGTGGCAGGGCCCTGGCCCACGGCCTACCACCGTTGTGGCCTAAGTTCTAAGCCTGTGGAGCTGTGAAATCCAAGTACAACCTGCATTCACACCTCTGCCAGGTGATCCCACTCTCCTGCCCCTTGGGCAAGAAGATGAGGGGACACTCAGAAGCAGGGTGAGGAACAAGCTGAGCTATGTGGCTTTGGGGGAACAGGGGTGAGCATAGAACATGAGTGGAGAGGCCCAGCCACTTAATAGTATTCCTAAACAGCCTACAACTCTGTTTGCAGGTGGACAACTGAGACGTAATACGTAACCCTAACAAATAGTGTTGAGACAATACATCACACACAAATCTTAAGCAGGAAAAGCTAGAAGAAAAAGCACAGTTTACTTTCCATTTCTTCTGGACACATGTTTACACTCTTTCTAAACCAGAAACAATAAAAATTAAACCTGAATTACTTAGCTTCGCCAACTTCCTGTACCAGTTTTAGTTAATATTGATGATCTCAACCATGGCAGGTGTGTTTCCTTTAAGGTTTATTTGCTCTTAGCTGTCAGCCCAATCAAGCTTTAAAAACTACCCGAGGGACCTCTTGTGGCGACATTAAATACATATACATACACACACACACACACACACACACACACACAAAGAAAAGAAAAGAAATGAAAACTGGGTGGGGGGAAGCTATCTGAACCCCGTCCCAACACAAAAACCAAGGTGTGACCTCTTGCCTGTGGGCACTCTTCAGAATGCAAAGGAAAAGGCCTCAGGCCAACAGATTAGGCAAAAGGTAAGAACAGACTTTCATGGAAAATAAACATTCCTGGAAGGGTGCTGGACCTTACCCTCAGCAACCCAGCATCCAAAGGGTTTCATTAATAGAGAGGCCTTGAACATGTCTCTGAAAAAAGTGACACCTTCTCAAGAAGAGCCTCAGGCAGGTCCTTTAGGAGGTGTTCCAGAAGAAGGCACCATCACCATAGGAGATGAAGACGCTCCAGTGGGACAAGATGGGCAGGCAGAAGACAGTGATATTGGTGACCCTCACCCTGTGCAGGCCTAGGCTAATGTGTGTGTTGTGTCTTAGTCTTTAACAAGAGAATTTAAAAAGTAAAAGATAAGCCCTGGCGGGTGTAGCTCAGTGGATTGAGTACAGGCCTGCGAACCAGAGTATCGCGGTTTGATTCCCAGTCAGGGCACATGCCTGGGTTGCAGGTCAGTTCCCAGCAGGGGACACACAAGAGGCAACCATACATTGATATTTCTCTCCCTCTCTCCTTCCCTTCCCCTCTAAAGATGGATGAATAAAATCTTACAAAAAAAAGTAAAAGATAAACTTAAAAATAGTAAAATCTACCCTGGAAAGTGTGGCTCAGTGGACTGAGTGCCAGCCTGTGAACCAAGGGTCGCTGGTTCAATTCCCAGTCAGGGCACATGCCTGGGTTGCAGGCCAGGTCCCCAGTAGGGAGGCACTCGAGAGGCAACCACACATTGATGTTTCTCTCCCTCTCTTTCCCTCTGTCTAAAAATAAATAAAATCTTTAAAAAAAATAAAATAAAATATACAAATAGCAAAATCCCTATGGAATAAGGATATAAAGAAAATAGTTTTGTATACTTGTATGTTTGTTTTATGCTAAGTGTCATTATAAGAGTCAGGAAGCTAAAAAGAATTTTAAAGTTTATAAAGTAAAAAGCATCATGGTACACTATGTTTAATTTATTATTGAAGACATTTTAAAAATAAGCGGACAGTGGACTTACAGTAGCGTACGCGGGTGTCCTAAGCCTTCTTGGCACCGACCCTCCCTCACTGCCTCACCAGGAGCAGCTTCCAATCCTGCAGGCTCCACTCATGCTAAGTGCCCTGTGCAAGGTGCACCTTTTTGTGTCTTTCATGCTGTATTTGTCTTGTACCTTTCCGATGTTTAAATACATACATACTTACCACTGTGTTATAATGGCCTACAGCAATCAGTGTAGAAACCAGTTGTGCAGGTTTGTGGCCTAGGAGACAGGCTACACCACACTGCCCGGGTGTGGAGGCTGTACCATGTAGGCTTGTGTAAGTGCACTCTATTGTGTCCACACCATGACACACTGCCTAATGACGCAACTCTCAGAACAGGTTCCCGTCGTTAAGCGACGCGTGACAGTACAAACAGTCTATGAGTGAGGAATGGGAAACTGGTTAAAAGAATCACAACATACAAAACAATGGAATATTACCCAGCTGTAAAGAAACAGTGGAGCAAGTTAAGTTTTAATAAAAACAGTATATACATAAGGAGTACATACAGCATATTACCATCTGTATGAAATACAAGGGAGATAGATGTTTGAATAACGTAATTCTGACATTGGAAAGAATAGAGGTTGCTAAAGAAGGAAATGGGGGGTGCTACCCTATTTGAAGGTTTGCTAAGAGCATTATGTTTTCACATTATATATTAAAAATGTGGTTGGGATTTAAAAAAGCAACAAAAGTTTGTGCAATCTATTTTTTTTTGGCTTATTACCTGCCAAAGCAATTTTTTGTTTTTTGTTGTTTTTTTTTGAAAAGAACAAATATGACTGAACCAAAGGCATGTGATATTGTCTGATTCCATTTATGTCAAATCTCCAGAGAGGCAACTCCAGAGACAGAAAGCTGATGAGTGGCTGCCAGGGGCTGGGAGGGAATGGGGAGTGACTACTAATGGTATGACGTTTCCTCTGGGGGGTAACAGAATGTTCCAGAATTAGATGGATACACAAACTGTGAGTAGTCTGAAAACCACTGAACTGTGCACTTTAACTGGGCAAACTGAGTAGGTGAATTATTTGTCAATGAAGCTCATATTAATCACAAGCTGCATGGCATACTCATGTGCCCCTTGGTCCACATGTTCCCCTCTAACCTCCCATCAGGCCAATGGACTTGCCATATGGGATACAGATTCCACCAAGTGACCTAAGTAAGTTCCCATGTAAACTGCCAGCATTGCCACTAGAAATTACTCCACAATGTTGCTCATGTTCCCGTCTGCTTAAGTAGACAACACTCACAGTGTCTTACACCTGGGGGGCCTGGCTGAGGCACGCTTGTGAGCATCACATTTAGTGCTGGGCTCTGATATGCTACTTCTCCCTACCCTATCGCTGCCCAGCTGGGGTCCTTGCAAATTAACACTCTGCTTCTGTCTTTTATATGTTTGTGAGCTCCTTCAAGTGGCCACTTCCTGCTGCTATTGGAGACCCATCTCCAGCTGAGCCCTGTTTTCCCTCCTCTTTTGTGCTGGGAACCTAAGCACTAGCAACAGCAGCTTAGGTGCACTAAGGCGCCCTTGTAAGAATCAGGCCCCTCACTTTCAGGGCTACTCTGAAGCTTTTAAGTTTCATTCTAGGGCCCTAGCTGGAGCACAGGTGGATGAAGGAGCCAAATGAGGGATGGGTATTTACAAAGACATCCTGAAGCCTGATGATGGTCACTGGTCTCTCACCACAGGCTGAGTTCTTTGCCTTCTTACAGCGCTGTTGGACAGAGAGGTCTCCTTCACCTCTCCCTTCCAGGCATCTACCCAGGTGTTAAAACTCCATTCTACTTTTCTTCCTTCCCAGAGGGCAGGTGCATAGTTCTACAAGGTCACTTTGAGTGAGTCACCATCCCCACTTGCAGTACGGCACTCTGTACCTATTGCTCTTTAATTCAAGTCTCTGCAAAGTGTTCCAGATTTGCTGCTCCTAGTTTTCCTATGCCATTCAGTGTGTCTGCACTCTGACACTATCAGAGCCACGTCAGTCTCTGTCCAGCTTACATTACAGCTAGTAACTGCTCTGTCGCCCTGTGGCACTGGCTGTCTGTGGCCCACTGATTTGGACCAGCAGGCACGATCAGGTCGACTTCAGCAGTGAGTATTTCCTGAGCCTGTGCAACTGTCCCTGTGCAGTGGCTTTGTAGTCTGGGACCAGTTTTAATGGGAATCTTTTTGGCATAGGGGTTCCCACCCCACAGGAAAAGAGGTTAACCCACCACATGTTGACACACGGCACAGGCCTCACTTTGAGGTCTCACAGGTGCCTATTTTCTCCCCCCACTCAAAGGTGCTGGTAAAGCCTGGCTTGCCTTCTGGGCTGCAGGGGAGAAGTCACCCTTTCCTCCCTGTTCTCTCTGGAAGCACCTATGTGGGTACCAACACTCCAGTCGCCTCACTCTTCCTGGATTTGACATCTGACGCCCAGGCTACCCAAGCACAGCTTTGAGCCCTTCTTCATTTCTTAGCCCTAAATAGCTCCCTTTCTCTCTTAAAAGAAAAAGGAGCTATACTGGCGTTCCATGAATGTATGTTTCTGTTTTTAAGATTCTATTTTGGCTATCACTTCCAAGTGTTCGTAGTAGAAAAGACCGGCTTAGTCAATCATGTTGCTAATTAAAAGCCTCATTTTCCAATTAGACTTTTGCTTTTATAATCAGAAAAACATTACTTAAAAACCTCAAAACATACTTTTTGCTGAAAACAGATACGTGTGTGTGTATGAATTTTTTTCTCCCTTATGACTGATGAAATGTTGACAAAGAAGACAGCACTCTGCTCTGGAGCTAGAGCCTGTTACTCCTTATTGGCTCATTTGCAAAATCGAGTATTAAGTCATTTCAAACACGTTTCCTTATCCAATACACAAGAAAGGGAAAAAGCAACCAGCAAATACAGAAATATATCTGGTGTGGCCAGTGCCTACCTTTTGGCTCCACCCGCATCTGGGGAAACAATGATACAGTTCCTCCAATCCGAGATGTTCTCCCGAATCCACTGCAGGACCGCGGGCTCCGCGTACAAATTATCCACGGGGATGTCAAAGAATCCCTGCGAGGAGAAGTGAACGTCACACTGCAGGGCTTTTGAAAAGATGATCTTTCCTTACATAAAATTTGAGGTTTTTTATTCAGAGGAAGCCTTTTCAGCAGATTCTCTTTCCTTCATTTTAACAGAATTAAATCGAAAGGCAGGTCTGTTCCAGGAGCATATTTTAGTTCCATTTCTTATTTGTGGGGACTGCCCAGAAGATATTCCCACCCCTCCAAAACTGACTAGAGACAACGGGGTGGTAGAGACAGGCGCTATCAACGTGAAATTACATTTCCAAGTTCAGTAAAGGTGAAAAACTAGCCCCAAGTCACGTTACCTCCTTTGAAAATTGTGTAACTTCACAAAAAATGGGATTTAAGCACCTGTGCTGAACCCCCAAATCACAACCGAGGGCAAGAAAGAAAGCGCCAGAACCTGGATCTGGGAGGCATGCAGGTCCATGGTGATGATGTGATCTGCCCCGGCAACTGAGAGCATATTGGCCACAAGTTTCGCAGAAATCGGAGCGCGACTCTAAAATATAAAGACATGGATTTTATAACAGGAAAAGAGACAGACACCTTCAGATTCCTCCCAGTGAGGTTTGCATGAAAAAGACAAATCGCAGCCGCTCTACAACATGTTAATAAAGAAAATTAACAATAACTTTCAATGATCTAATTAGCAATAGTAAATTACCAGTTTTAACAACAAAGAGTAGTCATTTCATTTTGTTCACCAAATATTTACTATTTACATATACTATTGCAAGGCTTGACACTGGGTATGGAGAACAAATGTCAAAGAAGCAAACCAACTGTTTATGCGTAACCTCATGATTTGACTAATTCAAATTGGGACAAGTGTGGAGAGAAAGGGGTACTGAGAGAGGTACTAGCACAAGGACATGAAGTTTAAAGAGGCTCCTTGGCAGAGGCCCGCTGAGGAAACCACTTCTCAGGCTGGGAGAGGTAGGGAGACCAGTGTTCCAGAAAGAGCAGCACATGTGACATGGCCCAGGATGAGAGATCACGCCCAGGAACTGAAGTCCAGTTTGGTCACAGGGGAGACCATGAATGCTGGAGTGGGAGGCAGGGCCATCTCCTGCACAGCCCCACCAGCCAAGGCTGGCTGTTAAACAGGAGGCTGGGAACCAATGCTCAGTGTCAGAAATCACACAAAAACCAGATGGAGGAGAGGACACCTTACGGTGATGGAGAATTTCATATTTACATAAGGGGGTACACTGTGATTTTTGAGTGACCTAACTTCTCCCCAGCTGCAGCTTCCACATCATAAATTATGTACAATAACTCTGTCTGCATCAAAAAGAAAAATATCCAAGAGACTATCCAGACATGATTAGACCTAGGAGAGAAGTTCAGCAATTTGCTGTGAACAATAGTATTCCTACATATGAGCCACAAAAAAAATATATAAGGTTAAAACATTTCATTCAAACTTCCAGTGTTATATGCCATTTATATCTCAATAAAGGTGAGAAAAGACTTCATTTGCAATAGTAAAAATCAATGATTCCTGTTAAACACACAAACATAGGCAGAGTATATGCAGGTAAAAACACACAGAAAGGAATTACATCACAATGTTAACAGATAATTTGTATGCTGATTACATTTTTTTAAAAAGAAAACATTACTTTAATATATATACACATGCAAATACATACACACACAAATTTCTTTTCAATACACAAAGAATTAGAGGAAACGCCCCCAAATGTTAATAGGCAATGCTTCTAGATAGGGAGGTTATGGGACAATATTTCTCTCATTTAAAAAAAAATCTTCAATCCTCTCAACTAACTACCTATGATCATGCATGTTTTCGCCGTTCACTCCCCTGTTCTGTTCCGTGCTACCTTTGGACCTTTGGGAAAAAAGCCCACGGGCCAGTCTGGCTCTCGCTACTGAGAGCTGGTCCTCATGCACACATGCCTCTGCCATGAGGATCCTCCCCGCAGTCTGTCCTGGGCTTGCTCTTCCTCTTCTGGGGGACACTTCAAGTGTTGTCACAGCTACACACCTGCCACACCTGCATTTTGACCCGCCTCTGCTCAGCCAACTTGTGTGACCCTCCAGAGTTGGTTCAGGGCTCCAAACTTGAAGGCACTCTGAGAACTCCAGAAAGAAAGGGTCTGTCCCTTCTAATGAGACATAGCACTGGCTCAGCATTTGGCCCCCCACCATTTGGGACCACCTGCTGAAAGACTGATGTGAGAACAATGTCTATATCTGGAGGTCGGGGTTCACAACTAGATCCTCAAAAACAAAGAACTGGGTTTGGAGACTTTTCACATCATCTACAGCACATAGATAGCTCTGTACCTGGCATACGATGCTTATCTCTGATAATTATTTCATGATAGAATCTCTGTTAACAGCAAGTTTCCAAGGCTTCATCATTAGCTTCACCAACTGTGAGACTGCTTCAGTTTACCAAAACTGCAGAATAGCTAAAAGAATCAGTTGATTACTGGGACTTCCTTGTAATAGAGTTTGACTCGCAACACTAGTCAATGTGGGACTCTCCCTACAAGTTATAACCCGGCAGGAAGATTCCTCTGGTCATCGTTCTCACTACGTCAAGCATCTTGTCCTTCTGAGATCCAAACCACAGAACGTTTTTTTATAAATTTGGTTTTAGCACTGCTTCATCATTTGGCTCAAGGCCCAACTGAATCTTACATGGAAAACGATTTACAAGTTAGCTGACTTTACAGCCAATAAAAAGGAAAATGAGCCTGACATTTCAACAAAGGTAGAGTCAAAGTACAGTAATCAAAAATAAAATGTTGGACTACCCCAATGAGACACTGATAAAGGTCAAAAGTTTCGTGGGCCAGCCCAACCGTGATAAAGACTCTCTGGCTATTTCAAGCCTCGAGCAATGTATCAGATGCCACCCTGCTGAAAGTATACATTTGACAACCTTGAAAAACGGACAAGATTGGAGAAATTTGAATCAAAACAATGGTCCTCAATTTTCTTTTCTTCAGTTAAGAAACAGAAAGAAAACCTTGAAAATAGTTTGGGAAAAGCTACACATCCTCTATCACCTCTGAAGTAATTATTTGCAGTCTTGCACACGTCATACTACTTTTTAAATTTATGTTTTATTTTGGAGAGAGGGGAAGGGAGGGAGAGAGGGAGAGAAGCATGACATGAGAGGGAAACATTTAATTGGCTGCCTCTTGCATGCACCCCAACCAGGGACCAAACCTGCAACCTAGGCATGTGCCCTGACCCCAAATCGAAACCGTGACTTTTCACTTTGCCAGAAGCTGCCCAACCAACTGAACCACACTGGCTGGGACATGTCATACTGCTTTTACTGGCAAAGGAAACTAGCAATTACTGAGTGTCCCCTACAGTAGGTATCAGTGAACGGAGCTCTGTGGGCCAAGCCTGGCCTGTGGTGTGGTTTTGTACAACCTGTGAGTTAAGCATGGAATTTACATTTTGAAGTGGTTGAAAAACAATCCAAACAAGAAGAGTATATTGTGACATTTGAAAAGTATATGAGATTCCTATTGCTACACCCATAAAGGTTTAGGGGAACACAGCTGTGCCCCTTCGTTGATGTATGATATATGGCTGCTTTCATGTGAAAATGGTTGAGCTGAGCCATTCGTCTCTACCCTGTGGTCCACAAAGCCTGAAAAATTTGACATCTGTCCCTGGCCGGTGTGGCTCAGTTGGCTGGAGCATGGCCTCCTAAACCAAAAGGTTGCAAGTTTGATTCCCAGTCAGAGCACATGCTCAGGTTGTGGATTTGGTCCTCAGTTGGGAGCACACAAGAGCATCAACATCCTGATTGGTGTTACTCTCTCACATTGATGTTTCTCTCCCTTTCTCTGCCCCGCTTCCCCTGACTCTGGAATCAATAAGCATGTTCTCAGGTGAGGATAAAAAAAAAGGACAATTTTTATTGGGGGGGGGGAGAGAAGTTCTGCTAAGCACTTTATATATTGTAGCAAATATTATTCTGAATCTATGGATGAGGAAACTAAAGGCACAAGGAGTTTAAGCTACTTTGATGAAGGATCAACTGAGAAAATAATGGCCCTGAAATTCAGGCCCGAGTCTACCCGATTCTGAAGGTGGAACCCCAAGCTGAGACCACGTCGCATTACGAATTCTACAATGAACACTGTGGCATCACCATTTTCTGTGGCAGTACTGCATCGTGCTGAAGTGTCCAATGTATAAGACCCTTCCTTCACTGTCAGAACTTGTCCCTGGTCTCTTGCACATATAAACAAAACCACAAATAAAACTTGCACATGTACAGGGTTTGCTTACAAGGGACCAGTGAGGTCCAAAATGATGAAACAAGCTTTGGATATTGTTCAAAGGCTCCACATTTTTCTGGGCTCTGAAGCAGATTGATTACCTGTTACCCCACTTCAATACAGTTTCCCAATACAGAGCCAATCCATTTGACCTAGGAAATGGGTAGAACAATTATTAACAGCTATTAGCAGCAAGTTCAAAAACAAAATACAAAGGCACACTATACCTGAAATGACAGCCAAAATTAAGAATTTCCCTTTCGACCAGTCTGAAAGAATGAAACTAATTATTTTAATGTGAGGTATACTGACCATGCAGACGTGACAGAAATAATAGTGCCAGAACAATCTATATGTCTTGGCCAGCTCCAAGGTCAGTCCCAAAGCCAGAGGCCTGTAAAAGGGTGGCCATATGTCAGACACACATGGGATAACCAAGGTGGACCCTTGTTTCCTGGCATAATTATTCACAGAGCTCCTTTCAAGCTCTCAAATGCACTGGCTTTAGATGATAAATGATATAATAATGACACTACCTCAAGCTTGAACTATCTTCAAAATGTCCATTTATCAACACATTAATGACTGCCTTGAACGTGCCCTGCACTGTGCTGAATGGCGGCCCCAGAAACATCAGGTCGTAATCTCTGGGACCTGGGCAACTGTTCCCTTATTTGGAAAGAAGGTCTCTGCAGTTGTGATTACATGAAGAATTCTGAGATAAGGCAATTATCCTGGAGGGCTGGGATGCTACCACATGTACCCTTAAAGAGGGAGACTTGACAGGCACAAGAGAAGGCTGTGTGAACATGAAAGCAGAGGTTGGAGTGAGGAGGCCTCATGCCAGAAGCTGGAACAGGCCCAGAAGGAGCTGCCCCTGGAGCCTGTGGACAGGGCGCTGCCCCAGCCTGATTCTCTGCTTCTGGCCCCAGAAATGTGAGCGAATACACTTCTCTTGTCTTAAACCACCCAGTCTGTGGCAATGCATTGTGGTAGCAACAGGCAACTCATACAGCCCTCCATGATTCCTTCATGAGTTTCTCTAACGTGAAACACAAGTACAGCACAGTGGTGAAGACAGGAAAGGAACGGGTACTTGAGATGGCCCCAAATGGCAAACCCATCTACATGTCCTACAATGGGAAAACAAATAAAGTGCCAGTCAGATGACACGGATCCACAGAACAGCTAAACCCACCAGGGTTTCCAGAATTCTGTGGGGCTCTTTTTGTCAGCACAGTGGCAAGGGGCACTGCTGGCTGTTGGAGGTCAGAGGTCAGGAGCACATCACATCCCCGGTGTGGCAGGAGACCAGCCAGTGCTGGCTCCTCTATATAACAAAGAGTGCATTATGAATACATAAGAAACAAAGCTTGAAAACGCAACCTTGGAAATAGTGGCAAATAGGATACTTGCAAACCAAGAATGTGGGAGTCTTGGTATTTGTATCAGTTGCAGGAAAAGTTAGTTTACAAATCAGTGGGAAGGGGCCCTGTAATGATAAAGGAATCATTTACCAAAGAAGTTACAATTATCAAATATCTTTGCCCCAAATGGAAAAGCTACTAGAAGTGAAAGGAGAACCTGACTGCAAATTACAGAATAAACAGAATATACATTTTCCTAACCCTGTCGCTACCTGGCGAAGACAGAGCAGCAGAATATTGGTTCCTTTAGGACAAAGACAAGGGCAAGGGTGAGATGCTACCCCATGCCATGGAATCACAGACGAGAGGAACAACTGAAACAACTGTTCACATGGATGGGACAAAGTAAAAGACTGAAATTTAGCAGCTAAAAATGTACATAAAACTTGCAAATCGAGTTGAGAATAAAAGAAGCTCCATAAATAACATGTGGGTGGTCATACGCTTCACAGCAGCAGCTGTGACCTAACGTGAACTAAAGCTAAGTCACGACATGATGGACGCACACACAAGCAATGGCTGCTGTCATGTGGGGCGGGTCCACACACTGTGGCCCGCAGGCCAGATCAGGTCAGCCACTTGTTCTTGTATTGCTTGTGAGCTAATAATGGCTTTTACATGACCATACAGCTGGAATAAGATCAAAAGAAGAACATTTGAATGGCATGTGACAATCACACGAAATTCATATTTCAGTGTCCATAAATACAAGTTTTGTTGGAATTCAGCCACGCCGGTCATTTACTTACTGTCTGACTCTGTTTGATATACAGCCAGGGCTCGGTAGTTGCCACAAAGACCATCCAGCCTTTTACAGAAAAAGGTTGCTGACCCCTTCTAACCTGTATATTGTAAATCATGTATCAAGTGCAGAATGGTGTTCCTGAGATCAAGATTTCAGGAACAAATGAACTTAGCTGTGTTTGGCACGGGCTCTAGAAACTGCACCACCTTGATATATGACTTCAAATTTATAAAGGGAATGTGTTCACACCTGAGGGGATCTTGTAACTGTTTTACAAACTTGCGTTGTTTCACAAAATGAACTATGAAGATAAATGGATGGGTACTGGGGAAAAGCTTTCTCATAATTAGTCACCACATGACAGAACAGCAGTGTGTCTTATAAACTGGAAGGATTCACGTGGAACCTGACTGAACGGCCATTCCTAAGATATAGAGCAGAAAACAGCATAAGAGGGGATCCCTGCAGGGGAATGAATGATATCGCCCACAGCTCATGTCCGCCCAGAACCTCAACATGTGACCTCATTTGGAAATGGGGTCTTTGCAGATGATACCGAAGGGAAAGAGCAAGATGAGATCATTCCGGATTAGGGTGGGCTGTAAATCCGACGACTGTCCATTTATAAGACAGGCAAAGAGACACGGGAGAGGCAATGCGAAGACAGAGGCAGAGATGGGAGTGATGCTGCCAGAAGCCAAGGACTGCCAGGAGCCATTAGAAACCACAAGAGGCAAAAAAGGCTCCCTGCTAACCTCAGCAGGCTCTGCCCAGAGGTCGATTTCTAACCTCTGACCTCTGGCCTCCAGAACGGGAACAGAATACATTTCCGTTCTTTTATTTAAGCCACCCAGTTTGTGCTAATTCATTACTGCCATCCTAGGAAACTAACACAATTCGCTTTAAAGTTCCCCTCAGCTCCAACTTGTGTGGTTTTTCCCTGGGGCCACTCCTATTGAGCTAGTGCCACTAGAGGAATAACTCATAGACATTAGCTTCATTCTCTTGAAAGGTTAAAAAGAGATAATGATAAGAAATGGTACGTGTGTCCTTCAGCCAGTTTCTCCTCATGGTAGGTAACATTTTGAAAAACTGTAGTCCAGGATCCCAGCCAGGATACTGGTGCTGACACAGCCCAGTGACCCGATTCTCACTCGCCCCCACCCTGCTTTTTGTGCTCACAGGGTGGGCATGAGTGTGAGAGTGGGTACGTGGTTCTATTCACCAGTGCAAAGATACACAACCATTTCATCCCTATGGAACAGCGACTTTCAACCGGTGTGCTGCAAGAATTTGTACAACATGCAGTGCCTGACTATTCAGCCAGGGGGCACAGACCACTTTTCCCTTAGATTGTCAAATAAAAAAATGACAACAGCCACCACAACAGCAGCCACCACTGTGAATGAATCAAAATTACACGTTTTTCCCGGCAAAATGTATTTTTCGGTGTGCTGCAGAAGTTTGGGATTTGTTTAAGTGCACCATGAGGTGAAAAAGGTGGAAACTCGCTGCTATAGGACGATCATGGTGTTTTAAGACCCGCAAAGACATTCTGCTTTAACTGTTTCTCTATCTATACATATTAACATGATGGCTGGCTCAGAGACAAACCTCTGAAAAAGCCAAAGTGAAAAAGTACGTTTGCTCGCTCCTTAAAATAGAGGGCAAACACTTTCTAGATATTCAAAGGTACCATGAGAAAAAAGAAGAGGCAACGCGAACCCAGAGCAGGGGCCTGCGACAGGACACAGCTCTCGTACCTTGTCCTTTTTATCTTGGCGCGCATATGGAAAGCAGGGGATCACAGCGGTCACCCTGGAGGATGACGCGATCTTGCAGGCATTGATCATGATGAGCAGCTCCATCAGGTTATCGTTGATCTCTCCACAGCCACTCTGGATGATGTAGACATCTTCCCCTCTCACGCTTTCACCAATCTCCACGCTTGGAGAAGAAAAATGTCAGCCATTAATTGTAAAGCATACTTCTGTTGTGTGGGGTCCCCAAGACCCCCCAGTTTTGACGCTTGGCCAGGACTGAGCGGACAGTTGTACTCACTGGTGTGATGTATTACAGCGAGAGGGTACAGAGTGCAATGAGCTGAGGGCAAAGGCGCACAGGGCGGATCCAGGTGCGAGCTCCTGAAAGTTGTCCCCAGTGGAGTCACACAGGTGGGGCTTAAGTCCCCTAGCAATGAGCTGTAACAACGCATGTGAAGTGCTTGCTGTGTACCAAGGAGGCTCATTAAGAGACTCAGGGTTTGATTGGGGGGCTGGTGATGTAGGCACCGTCTGCCTGGCACGCACCAAAATCCCAGATTCCTAGGCATTCAGCATTCACCACACTGTTCACACAGTGAGCCCTTCCTACCAGGGAATAAATGGAGGGAACCCCAGCTAAAGCTAAGTTCCCAGAGACCAGCCAAGGGCCACCTTCCAAGCAGGCCTTTTTCATGTATGAGGCGACCTTACGTGCTTCTTAGAAATGTGTCTCGGTCCTGCCAGGTTAACTCTTTTCTGCGAAATATGATACTTAATTATTTATGTTTATTAACGTTACATATGCACATTGCTTTAAAAATTCAAATCACCCTGGCTGGTGTAGCTCAGTGGATTGAGCACGGGCCTGCGAACCAGACAATCGTGGTTCGATTCCCAGTCAGGGCACATACCGGGGTTGCAGGCCGGTTCCCTGCAGGCCAGTTCCCAGCAGGGGACGGAAGAAAGGCAACCATACATTGATGTTTCTCTCCCTCTCTCCTTCCCTTCCCCTCTAAAGATAAATAAATAAAATCTTTAAAAAATTGTTAAAAAATTTCAAATCATTCTGTAAGGCTTACAATAAATGGCCCAGAGGCAACCAACTGCAACACTTGATAAGGTTTTTTTTGACATTTATCTTCAAGTCTCCAGCTAATGTTTGCATGGCTTCATTTGATTTCCTACTCTAGCCACCATGTAAGACTCCTCCCTATAAAAATAAGAATTTTTCTATTTCTCTATTTCCTCCCTGTCCCATCACCCACTTGGTATGCAGCACCCCCCACACCTCCTCTGGCCATCATCCCAATATCGATCAATATTCTAACTAAATATGAGTGCTACATTTTAACTGTGTAAATGCTGAGCAGAGTTGAGCCTATCTACTAAGCTTAAAGCAAAGTTTATAGTATTTCCAGTTTATGCACAATGTTTTAGGGGGTTGTTTTCCCTGAAGGAAACTAATCTTTTCATCTGCTAAGTTTTCTAAGGGCTGAATGCACAATCCAGCCTAAACACTTGGATAACAGAGTCCCCCCGCAAGGTCAGAGACCTCGAGTGCTATCTCCAATTCATCATCCTGCCTCGACTCGCCCAGGGTCGTCTGGCCTGGGCCCTTCTGGCCCTGTCTGCTGCCCCCAGGTATTCCCTTTGCCCCTCTACTACAAACCATTTCCCACTTTCTGTGTTCTTTCTTCATGTACTTCCTTGTTCTGATGACGGGCACCCTCTAGTAGCTTCTTGAGAAGAGTAAATAGGAGCTTTGAAAGTCTCTCAAAATTGCATGTTGGGAAACTTCTAAATTTGGGGGGACAGAATTCTGCACGTTCAACCTGAGAGCCAACCTGCCCATTGCTGGCACGTCCCCTCCACGGAAGCAGAGCAGAGTCAGGCCACGTGCTCAGGCTTGTCCTTCAGAGTGTTGCTGAGAATCAAGGACGGTGTCAGCTCAGCTTTAAATGTTTGTTTTTAAAAAGGCAACATTTTCCCTGGTGATTGATATATTAGAAACAATCTGAGCATATTAGAAACAATTTGAGCATAATAGGCATTCTGCATTTGCTTTTGCTTTTGCTTTCCCATGAGAGAATGAGAGAAAACGCAGAAGATAAAGTGGAGACACTAAGAACTAGTCCATAGGCACAGCCCCCTCTCAAGGACAACAGCCACACCCACCCACATCTGCTGTCCCAACGCTCCCCAGAATTTTTTCTTTTTTTTTACATTTTACTTATTTTTAAAGAGAGGGGAAGGCAGGGGGAGAGGGAGAGAAACAGCAATGTGTGGTTGCCACTAAAGCACCCCCTACTGGGGACCTGGCTGGCAACCCAGGCATGTGCCCTAACTGGGAATTGAACAGATGACCTTTCAGTTTGCAGGCTGGTGCTCAATCCACTGAGCCACACTAGCCAGGGCTCCCCAGCATTTCTGATCACCTGCCTCTGAACTCCTCACAACTCAAGCTCCAACCCTTCCAAGAACCACTTTATCAAGCAACCTGCAGGTCTTTTTCACCAGAAAGAACCATGTTTACCGTAGCATGTATGTATTTTTGAACATATGTGTAAAAGTGTTTTACCATTTTTATTCTATTCCCATCTTTTAAAAAAAAAGTCACAAAGGAAGTTTTCAGTGTTGTGTCCCTAACTCCACTTTTCTTATAAGCCCTGTGCTTTTTACTGTACAATCATCATAACGTGATTTTTAGAAATGCATTTGCCACCTTATGGAAGTGACTGTAAATAAAAGGCACATCCAAAAGATAAAGCCACTGAATCTTATTTTAAAACCACAAGTAAGGCATGTATTTACTTTTATCCCTCCTCCTGCTATCGGAAGCCATTTATACTCAATGTTATTAGTATAAGAGCCAATTTCTAAAGAAAATGTAAACACAAGTGACATTTGGGGGACCATATAGTAGCCTATCTGAATCAAGAGACGCTTCTACCCAACCTCAAGTAGATTAGAAGACAAATATGAAGTTTTCCAAGTTGACATGATCTGCAAATGAGTTTTGATAAGAGCACATGGGTCATATGCTTGCAGGTACTCAACTATGGATAAAAACAGTTCAATGCCAACCTGTCAGGATGAGAGGGACAGACAGAATTCTGTGTACCGCCTCCTATCTTCCAGGGTGAAGGAGCTAAAAGGAATTCCCTTGTGAACATCACATCACCTCTGGGATGAAGTCAATTTGGAAGTCACCGCACTACATAGCTCACAGACCAACAATCTGCAGCCCCCCGGCTGCAGAATGATGTGGTAGGCAGAACAATGGCCTCTCTAGAGATATTTTTGTCATCTGCTGAACCTTTGAAATTTGTTGGTTTGCCTGGCAAGGTGGCAGCTGGAATTAAGGGCAGCTGGAATCAGCTGACCTTAAAATAGAGAGACTATTCTGGATTGTTCTAGTTAACCAATATAATCACAGGGTCTGCACAAATGGAAGAGGGAGATGGAAGAGGTCACGGGAAGATGTGAGGACTGAAGTGGGGTCAGAGAGATACTTCATTGCTGGCTTTGAAGATGGAAGAAGGGGTCAAGAGTCAAGGAATGTGGGGGCAGCCTCTAAAAGCTGGAAAAGGCCAGGGAATGGATCTCCCCCCCACCAGTGCCTCCAGACCCATGATGCACTTATAGCCCACAGAATGGCATGATGCTAGAGAGACGACAGGACCTGCAAAACCTATTCACTACCTGGCCCTTGACATCCAGTTTGCCAATTCCTGGTGTGATAACTGTTTATCACCAAACTTCAGCCTCCTTGGCCTAGTTTTCCTGAGGAACCTCAATCCCCATATGATTAGAAGTCCAGGGGAGGACAGCAAATCTTATTACCATGGCAACTTTTCTCCAAAGCTATTCCTGCTTTCTCCTCAAAAAAAAATGATCACGGCTGGTCTTTATTCTAGGACTTTGAAAAACTGTGGCCAGAAGGCAGTATCCATTTGCTCTTCAAAGGATCTTTACTGATCCCGAAATAAGAAGGCTGGTGCCTTTATCTGAGTCAACAATGAGTGCATGTGGTCATTAAAAGATGGCCTCAGCCTCTCTAACACTTTTTCCATCAATAAGATTCCTCTCAGATCTGGGAGGACTCTGCTTGATGGTAGAATGTGACAGAGCGATGATGCCCAGGCCTTAATAGACTAATAGCTCCCATATCCAGTCTATTGGAATACTCATGCTTGGCACCTGGCTTCCAGGTAAGGCAGAAGCTGCAGCAGCCCAGTGGAGAGGTACTGAGGTTGCTAACCAACCTCCCAGGCACACATTAGTACCAACTTAACCAGCCACGTGAGTAAGCCATCTTAGAAACAGATCCTCTGGTGCCAGTTTATTGTCCTAGATGCCACCAAATGGGGCAGAAACAAGCCTTCCTTCCTGAACCTTGCCCAAACTGCAGATGTGAGAGTCAAATAAACAATTATTGTCTTAAGCCATGAAGTTCTAGGGGTGATTTGTTACCCAACAAGAGATAACCAGAACTTTGGGTCTTACAGTACAGCTAAGAACTCCATGGGCGAGTTAACTAACCAGGATAAAATGTTACAACAGACGTTTAGACGCCATCATGGGTGTTGTCCCAGGACGTCATCATGGCATTTCGGTGGCTACAGTAAACGCAGGGGCAGGTACCTCCCTCATATGTGAAATGCTTTAGAGATGGGAAGGTAAAATCAGGAGGTTGTGATCCAGTTTTGTGGTGTTTGAAAAATTGGGACTGGGAGCAGCAATGACCTGGAGACAGCAAACGAGATTTCCAGTCCTGGCTCTGTAAGAGATTCATGGAGGGACCCCTTACATGAACTGAATCCATTCTCTCTTCCTTTTGCCCTTCCGTTTCTGGTCTTAGGGGCACACCATATACACTGGATCGCTAGCATAGCACCTGGTAGAGAGGATTATCGATAAAAATCAGCCTCTGGACCTACACAGTTCATAGCAAAGTAAAGAAGTCAACTTTTTCCAGTGTAGATATTCAAAACAAAGAATGTAACTATATAAGCAATTCCAAGACTTTATGCAGAACGGTTTTTGAGACCTCATGATTTCTAATTAAATGGTAGTTATTAAATACTCAAAACTAAATAAAACTGAGTCTGCTTTAATCCTTCATTGTCTGAGTGAGTTTGACCCAACAGAACTTACACTCTGACTTCACAGATTAACCACATTCTTTAGCAACCAAGGGTTGGGCTACACAAGATAACACAGAAGAGAGAGATATTTGCTTTCAAAATGCACTTCATCCAGAAATTTCTCCTTCACTTATATGGTACCACCCCCTGAATAAAAACTATTATCCCATTCTCCTTGTGTTCTGAACGCTACTGAAACTCCCGTTGGAGCGGCAAAATATTGCAGCATTCAAACATAGCTATACTATCTTCTTCCTGAGCCCTTGCCATTCCCAAGGGGTCTTTTGGATAAAACTATGCAAAGAGGCCTTCTTTAGTCGCAGGACTCAGCATTAACACCACCTGCTGCTCAGTCACAAATGTTTTTTTCACTTATATTATCATCAGGGCCCTGTAATTATAATTCCCCACGGGGAAGAAGGGATTGACCTCTCCTAAAAAGCTGACAACGAACAGCACCTTCCCCATAAGGAGTAATATCACACCTCAGCACCTAAGAAATGTTTTGCCTGACCCAAGGTCATCAAGCTTTTCTCTTTATGTTTTCATCTAGGAACGTTTAGTTCTGGGTTTATATTTAGGTCTATATGAGCTATTTCAAGTTTAATTTTTCAAATGGAGGGAAGTAGGGACAGAGGATTTTGTTTGTTTTGCAGGTGGCACCCATTGTTCCAGCACCACCTGTTGACAATGTTGAAGCGGGTCTTGGCCAGAGATACAAAATGATCAGCAGCCCTGTGCAGCGCAAGATACTTAAAGGGAGAGCTGGGAGAAACGACGCCAACGTGAAATTACCGTAATTACCGTCAAGAGCTTGAAGACTCGGGCAGGTGGAGAAAGGAGCCCCTGGGCGGGCCTCTGAAGGGGCCGTCACCTGCCTTCAGTGAGCGGAGGCGGGCGCTTGCTGTGGACCCGACACAAGGGCGGCACTTACACTCTAGCCATGACCTGGCTCCTGGACACAGCCAAGTCCCAGAACGGCGAAGGAGCTGAAAGTGTACCATCTTTGAGGCAGAAAAATTAGAGGAAACGTAAGGCAACCCAACACGTGCGCCCCCGGAGTTCCCACGGTCTTTAAACCCTTTGCACAACCACACCCGCTGGTTAACGCAAAGGGTTGTATTCCGGCTGCTCAGAACAGTCACCTGGTAGCTTTTACCGCGCTGCTCCCCAGACCGGGGGGTGGGGGGGGGGCGTGGGCGGCACCTTCCCGAGCAGGCGAGGTTTGGGAACAGCCCTGTAGGGATACGAAACCGGGGCCAGCGCACCCAGGGCGGCCACCCCCGCCTGTCCCGCACCCGGGCGGTTCCCGCCCGCTGCGCCCACCGCGCTCTGAGGCGCTATGACCACCCCCAGGTTGCCCTTCCGGGCTGGGGCCGCTCTGCTAGGCTTTCCGGGGCGCCGCGACGGTGGCGCGGAGGCCTCGCCGCGGCTGGCCCGCCCCGGAAGGGGGAGCGCCCTGCCCGGCCTCGCCGCGGCGCTCCAGGAGCCCTGCCCGGCCCGGGGAGGTCCCCACCTGGTCTCCTGGTTGCTGAACTTCTTGGTCATCACCTTGCCCAGCTCCAGGCCGAGCCGGTCGGCCACACGCTGGGACAGGTCCTGGTGGGAGCTGCCGCTGAAGAGCACAATGTTGGTCATCTTGAGACTCGACGGGTGCGAGACCGAGACGAAGGCAACGGTGACACTAGTAGCGGCTGCACGAGCGGGAAAGCGCGGCTGCCGAGCTGACTGAGGAACCGGCGAGGAGTAGCTGCGGGGGGCGGAGCTGCGTGGGCGGGGCTTCAGGGGCGGGGCCGGGGGAGGAACTGGAAAGCGCTGCGGCTGGACCAGGCAGTGGAGCGATAGTGGTGGGGAGGAGCAGCCCGCGGAGGGGGAGGAGCAGCCCGCGAAGGGGGAGGAGCAGCCCGCGGAGGGGGAGGAGCAGCCCGCGGAGGGGGAGGAGCAGCCCGCGAAGGGGGAGGAGCAGCCCGCGAACGGGGAGGAGCAGCGCACTTGGAGGGGGTGGGGGAGCAGGGGGTAGCAGGGGTTGAGGGAGATCCGGAGGGTGCAAGGAGGCAGCGGCTGACCACAGTCCCAGGGCAGTAGGTTTGGAATGCCTGGGTGTCCTGAAGCATTAAGGAGTCTGCTCCCTGGGATACTTCCAGACCATAAATCTTGACCTTTCGATCCTGCTCCGTGGGGGAAAGCTAATGAACCAGATTAACTGGGCACTTAGGGAGAGTGTTGCAAGAGGTAATGCACTAGTCTCGCAACCAGGAGTGACTCCCTCATCCCGGAATACCCCCAAACTCATTGCACACACGACTGGTGTCCAACTACAAGGGTCTACAAACTGCGGCCCAAGGCCACATCCACAGTGCTGCCTCTTTGTACCCGAGAGCTGTCGTTTTCACACAGGAACGTTTGCAATCTATATGATAATACCTACACTACCTTTGCACCCCAATTAAGAGAAATTTCCCCCTGTAGAAAGAACTCATTTCCTCTCACAGGTGTGTACTGCAAAAAACTGCACTCAACTATGACTATATTTGGGATTTCGTCAATAAAAACATTGTGAAAATTTGTTGTCTGTTGTTATACAAGTACCAACATATTTTCCTCTCCATTTTGCCTCTTGGCCCACAAAGCCTAAATTATTTACCATCCAGTCCTGAATCAAAAGTTGCCAATGTATACTTTATACCTTCAGCACATCTCAATTTGGACTCTCCATATTTCAAGTGCCCAACAGCCACATGTCCCTAGGAGTTGCCATATTAGAGGGAGAAGCTCTAGAACACTGGTCCCTAAGAGCAGTGCCAAGACACCTTGATTCATCCATTCTGTCATGTGTTTTTATTAGCAGTGTGACAAATAATTTAAACCAAATTATAAAATGCTAAAGTTTAGCACAGGCTGGGTAGCTCAGTTGGTTGGGCGTAGCCCCATATATCAAAAAGTTCCAGATTCTGTCCTTGGTCAGGGCACATTACCTGGGTTGTTGGTTCCATCCCCAGTGGCAGTGCCTACAAGAGTCAACTGATCAATGTTTCTCTCTCTCTCTCAAATCAATAAACATATCCTTGGGTGAGGATTAAATAAACAAATGGTAAAGCTCATAAATAATTTCAAATCTAACTTAAAATGAATGCAAATTTATTCTATTAGTTACATTTTCTCTCATAAATCAGGTGTTTTTGTAATTTTTATTTCAATCTTTTCCTTGTACTTTCTGTTATTTAAAGAATTTTTTAAAAATGTATCAAAGAGACTGCTTCCTCCCCTCTCCTCCATCATGGTCTATGAGGTTGACTCTTCATCACATCTTCTCACAAGACTTTCAGGATCAAGAGGTTCCTGGCCAAGAAGCAAAGGCAGAGTCGGCCCCTTCCCCAGTGGATTCAGACGAAAACTGGTAATAAACTCAGGTACAACTCCAAGAGGAGACATTGGAGAAGAACCAAACAGGGTTAGTAAGGAAACACACATGATGTTGGACAAGAACCAAACTGGTTCTCTAGGGAAGGGTATATAAGAGATGGCTCACATATTTATGCTCTGTCCAGGTTGTCTGCCTCTTCAAATCGCTGGAAAGATCACTATTCTCTGCATAGTTTTAATTGGGAACTTATCAGAAAAATGATTTTTCTCTGTTGGCTTTTCTGCAGTTGGTTCATTAATGAATGTGAAACCATTTAAACTGCTGTTGTATTCTGATTTGTGAGTATTCAATGATACAAATGTTCTCTAGCTATGAAGTACTTCATTATGGCCAGTATAAGGAACTGACTTTTTAAATTTTTATTTAATTGTAATTATATAGTTCCATGTAACTAGTGGCTTTTATACTGTCTATTCTGGGAAATGCTTTGTGTCATCCTCATGCCTGAGGGGAACACATTCTTTTGAAAATAAATTACATCTTTACATGCTCTTCCTCAATATGAGTAGGAATCATCTGAACCAGAGGTGGACAAACTGGTCTGCTCCCTGTTTTTGTACAGCCTGTGAACTAAATTTCTGCATTTTTAAGTGGTTCGGAAAAGCAAATGAACATTTTGACATTTAAATTAAAATTTACTGGATATTTAAAAAAATACAGAGAGTTTAAAGAGCAACCATAAACCCAACACCTTAGACTTAGCAGCTGTCAAACTTTTGCCATATTTGATTAATCTATTTTTTCTGAAGTATTTTAAATGATAGTCAACATATATTCACACCTAAATTCTTTAGTCTGCATCTATAAAAATAATAAGTCTATCACACCATATGCAAAAATTAATTCAAAGTGGATCAAAGGCCTTAATGTAAGAGCTAAAACAAAAACTCTCAAAAAATATGGGTATAAATCTTCATGACCTTGAATTAGACAATGATTTCTTTAATATGATACCAAAAGCACAAGCAGCAGCAACAAAAATCCACTGAACATCAAAATTAAAAACTTATGTGTTTCAAAAGATACCAATGAAAATGCAAAGCATGGGAGAAAGGGTTTGCAATTCATATACTGATGAGGGACCTGTATTTAGAATGTATAAGAGTGATCACAACTCAAGAATGAGAGAGCAAGAGAATTTTAAAATGGGCAAGGTGCATGTAGATGTTTATAGCACCTTTTTTTTATAATTGCCAAAATTTGAAAGCAACCAAGATGTCCTTCAATAGGTGAGTGGATAAATAAACTGTGGTCCATCTGGACAATGGAATAGTTTTCAGTGCTAAAAAGAAATGAACTATAGAGCCATGAAAATGCACACAGGGACCTCAAATGCATGTTACTAAGTGAAATAGGCCAATCTGAAAAAACTACATAGTGTATGACTCCCGTGCTATGACCTTCTAGAAAAGGCAAAACTACTGAGACAGTAAAAAGATGAATGGTTACCAGGGGTTGTGAGGAAGGGGGGATGAAGAGAGGAGTGTAGAGGATTTGTCTTGTATGATACTATAATGGTGGATACATGTCATTATACATTTGTCCAAACCCATGAAATGTACAACAGCAAGAGTGAATCCTGATATAAACTATGCACTTAGATCAGTATGATGTCTCAGTGTTGGTTCATCAGTGGCAACAAATGTATCCCCACTGGTACAGGATGTTGATAGTAGGGAACACTGTGCGGAGGCAGGGGGTCTATGAGAACACTCTGTGCATTCTACTCGACTTTGCTGAGAACCTAAAACAGCTCTAAAAAGTTAATTCTATTAAAAATGAAAAAAAATTGGCAAAGGACCTGAATAGATATGTCTCCAAAGAAGATACCCAAATGGCTAATAAACACATGATGAGATGATCAGTATCATTAGTCATCAGGGAAAGGCAAATGAAAGCCACAATGAGATACCACTTCATACTCACTTGGATGGCTAAAATTAAAAAGACATAAGAATAAATGTTGGTGAGAATATAGAGAAATGGGAACCTTCATATACTGCTGGGGGGGATATAAAATGGTGCAGCTGCTTTGGGAAACAGTCTAGCAGTTCCTCACAGAGTTAAACAGCACAGAAATGGCATCAAGAAACCCCGATCGCAAACATGAATCTCTCAAGGGGGTAGACCCCAGGTTCCTAAGGAACATGCGCTTTGCCAAGAGCCACAACAAGAAGGGCCTGAAGAAGATGCAGGCCAACAATGCCAAGGCCATGAGCACACGTGCTGAGGCTATCAAGGCACTGGTCAAGTCCAAGGAGGCCAAGCCCAAGATCCCAAAGGGCAGCAGCTGCAAGCTTAGTCAACTTGCTTACGTTGCTCACCCCAAGCTTGGGAAATATGATCGTGTCTGCATCACCAAAGGTCTCTGGCTCTGCCAGCCAAAGGCCAAGGCCATGGCCCAAAACAAACCCCAGGCTGCAGATGCAGCTGTGGCTCAGGCTCAGTTTCAGGCTCCCAAAAGTACCCAGGCCCCTGCGAAGACTCTATAATAGAGGCCTCTGTCTGCTGATGTGAGGACAGAAGGACTGGTATGCCTCCGGGGCTGGGATCCTCCTGTGGTGTTTGTGCAAATAAACCTAAGGCAGGGTCAAAAGAAACAAACAAACAAACAGTTAAACATAGAATTAGCATATGACCCAGCAATTCCACTCCTAGGTGTAGAGATGAAAGAGCTGAAAACAGGTACTCAGATGAATAGTTTGCCTAAATGTTCACAGTTGAACTCTATTCACAACAGCCGAAAGATGTAAACAACCCAGATGTCCAACAACTGATGGCCAGATAAATAAAATGTGGTCTATCCGTACAATGGAATATAATTCATGTGGATGTACCTTGAAAACAGTATGCTAAGTGAAAGGAGCCAGTCACAAAGGACCACATATTGCATGATTCCAATATGCTCAGAAGAGGCAAATCTATAGATAGAAAGCAAATTAGTGGTTGCCTAAGGGCTGGGGGATGGGAGGATGGAGGAACTAGGGGGTGAAGGCTAAAGGGTATGGAGTTTCTTTGGGGGTTAATGAAAATGTTCTAAAATTGATTGTGGAGGCAGGGGCACCACTCTGGATATGCTAAAAGCCATTGAATTTTACACTGTAAATGGCTGAATTGAATGGTATGTGAATTATATCACCAAAAGAGCTATTTTAACAAAAGATGAGGACATTTCTCTTTATGAATCCAATATCGTGATCACATCTAAGATATTAACATGTCCGGGTCTCCTGCTGTTAGTGATATTGAGAGCACTCATTGATCTAAGGTGGTGATGGTCTGATTCCTTTATTATAAGACTGTTTTCTGCCCTTGCAAATGCTAATTTTCTAATTCTAT